AGAGCAGCCCGGATTGCAGACTGCGGAGAGAGAGAGAGAGGGAAAGAGAGAGAGAGAGAAGGAGAAAGAGAAAAAAGAGAGAGGCGTGAGGGAGAGAGAGAAAGAGAAGGAGAGAGAGAGAAGAGAGAAAGAAAAAGAGAGGGAGAGAAAGAAAGAGAAAAAAGAGAGAGGAGAGAGGGATAGAGAAAGGGAGAGAAAAGAGAAAGAGAGAGAAAGAAAGAGAGAAAAAGAGAAAGAGAGAGAGAAACAAAGAGAGAGAGAAAGAGAAAGAGAAAGAGAAAGAGAGGGAGAGAAGAAAGAGAGAGTAGAAAGAGAGGAGAGAGAAGAAAGAGAGAAAGAAAGAGAGAAAGAGAAAGGGGGAAGAAGAGAGAGAAAAGAATAAGAGAGAGGAGAAAGAGAGAAGAAAGAGAGAAAGAGAAAGAAGAAAGAATTGGAAAGAAAGAAAGAGAGAAAGAGAGAGAGAAAGAGAGAGAAAGAGAGAAAGAAACAAAGAAAGAGAGAGAAAGAAAAAGAGAGAAAGAGAGAGGGGAGAAAGAGACAGAGAGAGAAAGAGAGGGAGAGAAGAAACAGAGAGTAGAAAGAGAGGAGAGAGAAGAAAGAGAGAAAGAAAGAGAAAGGGGGAGAAGAGAGAGAGAAGAATAAGAGAGAGTAGAAAGAGAGAGAGAAACAAAGAAAGAGAGAGAGAGAAAGAAAAAGAGAGAAAGAGAGAGGGGAGAAAGAGAGAGAGAGAGAGAAAAGAAAGAAAGAGGGAGGGAGGGAGAGAGGGAAGGAAGGAAAGAAAAAAGACCAAAAGAGAAAAAGTCACAGCCGAATAGCCGGCGCTGACATCCGCAAGTTGCCCTTTGCAAAGTCCCGATCCAGACGCCAAGAAAGTCCTTTTGCAACGCGGGCCAATTGGGGCGGGAGAGCCTGACCGGGTGTGGGGGGGGGGGGCTGCAAGCCAAAGGATGCGCTGCAAAGGCCAGGCAAGGAGACGGAAAAGAGGGGGGGGGGTTGGGGGAAAGGTTCCCCGAGCCCAGGGTTGCAAAAAAAAGAGGGGAGGACGATGCACGGCTCTGCTCCTCCACGTAGAGGTGGCCTGTCCTGCAAACTGGCTCACCTGGGCGCTCCAGGAAGCGCCAGCCCAGGAACGCAGGAAAGAAAAAGGGGAAAAAAGAAGAAAAAGGGAAAAAAGGGGGGGTGGAAGAAAGGAGGGAGGAGAAGCCACCTTTGTCACAAGCTCCCTCGGGGGCCACAGCGCCTCCCCTCCCTGCCCACCTTTGCCTGGGCCACCGCGAGTGACATGCTGACCGACCAATCGAGAGGGACCCTTCGGCCACCCCCGCCCGAGGCGGTAGCCAATGAGCCGGTTGAGAAGGGGAGCGAGGGAGACCCGCACGCAAGCAGAGAGGCGTGTGGGTAACGTAGTCCCGAAGCCTGCCGGCTGCTCTTCACTGGAGTTTCTTCTTCCAGTTTCATTCCTTCTTTCCAATAAATCAATCAATTAAAAAAAATCAATCGTTTTTTCCCCGCCTCTTTACGTGAACATGACAAGTGCCTCCAGACACCAGATCAAATGGGAAGCCCCGATTGGAAAGGGAGTTATTGGGTGGCAAAACCTTATTGTAATATCTCGCAAAGGGCATGGTAATAAATAGAATAATCTTTTCCTGCCTTTGAGTCAATATTGATTCCCGGCGACGCCTGGATAACTCTCTGCAGAGATCTTGGCCAGGTTTCTGAAATGGCCATAATATTGCTTTGTTTTATAATACTACTTTATTTTATTATTATGATTTTAATTTAATTTAGATATGGCATCTACAGGGGCCATGCAGTCACTGATATACAACTCGAATAAAACAGACACAAATATACAGTTAAATATTTATATTACACACACACACACACACACACACACACACAGGTTTTACCCCAGTTCAATATTTTATCTCATGTCTTGTGCTGTGCACACTTGACATATTTAGAATAGAGTAGAATAACAGAGTTGGAAGGGACCTTGGAGGTCTTCTAGTCCAACCCCAAATTCACTTCACACACACACACACACACACACACACAGGTTTTACCCCAGTTCAATATTTTATCTCATGTCTTGTGCTGTGCACACTTGACATATTTAGAATATAGTAGAATGACAGAGTTGGAAGGGACCTTGGAGGTCTTCTAGTCCAACCCCAAATTCACTTCACACACACACACACACACACACACACAGAGGTTTCACCCCAGTTCAATATTTTATCTCATGTCTTGTGCTGTGCACACTTGACATATTTAGAATAGAGTAGAATGGCAGAGTTGGAAGGGACCTTGGAGGTCTTCTAGTCCAACCCCACATTGACTTCACACACACACACACACACACACACACACAAAATGTATATATAAATATATTAAATGAATTTGGGGTTGGACTAGAAGACACCCAAGGTCCCTTCCAACTCTGTTATTCTATTCTATTCTAAATATGTCAAGAGTGTGGACAACACAACAGATGATATAAAATATTATACTGGGGTAAAACTACAATACAACCACCGTCATACTGTGCCGTAGATACAGTAAAGTAGCTGTTATGGTTTTCTATCTAAAGAAGCTAAGCATTTACGGTAGTTCTGTGTTTCTCAACTTTGGCCAATTGAAGATGTCCGAACTTCAACTCCCAGAATTCCCCAGCCAGCATTCGCTGGCTGGGGAATTCTGGGAGTTGAAGTCCGGACATCTTCAAGTGGCCAAGCTTGAGAAACACTGATATTTTCTAGTTGCTTCTGGCATGGTGACTTTAATTTGGGGCTTGTCACTTTCATTATAATCAATAATAATCCCGTGGATGTTAAGGGTGAAAGCCTCCTCGCATTGCCTGGCACCCTTTGGCTCCCGGGACAAACAAGGTTTTTAAAAGGAGTTACACCTGCAGTGCCAATACTTCATTTCCAGGGTGTCATTTCCAGGGTTTAGGATGCAGAGTGGTCGCTTCCGAGTAAATCCGATAGACTCCAACTTTTTCTTTGACGGAGCCCAACTGTATCGGCAGGTAGCCTGCGTTACTCGGGAGTAAAAAAAACCCGGGCTCCCGTTGAAGCCAACGAAACTTCTCTCCGCAGGAAAAACAGGCTTGGCTCGGCCCCTTAGCCTCAAGCCGCCACTCTCTTTTAAAGGAAGAAACGGCGGTTTTCAATGATTATTCGCAACGCTAATTGTTCCCTTCCGAGGACCGAGAGGGAATGGCGGGTTTTCCCAGCTGCGCGGGGATCGACCTTGCGACGTCGTGAATCTCGGCCTCCCTTGGCGGAGGACTTTCTAACTTCGCGTGGACGCCCGGGAGGTGGGTGGGTAGAGGCTCCCGAAATTTAGCCTTCTCCGAGGAGCCCTTTCCCGACTAAAGAACCACAGACACCCCGCTTGGTTGCAAAAACGGACGCCCCGAATTCGCTTCCCAGCCGATTCTGCGCTCAGAGCGTTATTACTCCGAGCCTTTTTCGCCTCGAATTTTTCCCTTCCTCAACTCCCAGCACACCTCTCTGCTTGCGCCTCTTTCTCTCTCTTTGTGTGTTTGTGTGTGTGTGTGTGTGCGTCCACCCGTCCCCTCTCTCACGCCCCCCCGACTAAAGCAAGAAATAAAATAAAAAAAACCCGACCTGACGAATCGAACCTCGCCAAAAAAGTTTCGCAAAGAGTTAAAGCGCCCCAGAACCTCCGTACCGGGGCGATCCTAACTCTTGCGCCCCCAAACTTGACTGCTGCCCAGCGCAAACCTCGCGCTCCTCCACCTACCGAAAGAACGCTTAGATGTCCCCCAAAAGGAATCTCTCTCTCTCTCGCCCGCCCAACTCCCCCGTTCCTAGTCCCAGCCAAGCCGCCTTCGCCAAGCGGGCTAGCTTTGCAGGCTGGCCTTTAAGCCCTGTACCCCAAGGTGGGGCCCGGGCGGGCTTCGAGATGGACTTTCTTTTCTGAGGGTAGGTAGGGGGGGGTTGCTTAGGGTGAAAGGGAAACGTCGGAAGTTCAGCAGCGGGAGTGGGGAAGGGGACTTCGGCTGGACGAGAGTTGGAAAGTCGGATCCGTTTTCGTGGGGGTAGGCATATATCAGAGCTGCCTCTCCTGATAAAGACAGGGGAGAAAAAGAGAGAGAGAAAGGGGAGAAAGGAGAGACAGAGANAGGAGAAGAAGAAGAAGAAGAAGAAGAAGAAGAACAACAACAACAACAACAACAACTTTTGGGATGAAAAGAAGAAGAGGAAAAACTTCTTGGATGAGAAGAAGAAGAGGGGAGAAAAGCTTCTTGCATAAGAAAAAAACAGCTTCTTGGATGAGATGTGAAACATTTTCAAGGGGGGGGGGGAAAAACCTAGAAAGTCCAGTTGCCTTTTGGGGGGAAAAAGCACCTTTGGGGGATCCCTGATGTGGATGATTGAGAACCTCTATAGACAATGCAAAGAACTGTGCTGGCATATGGACACATTTGGTTGATTGGGCTCTCTACGGCGTTGGCACTCTGCCCAAACACATTTCCCACCTACCCCAGTGTGCATTTACAAACAACTCTCCCCCCCACCCCTCAACGCACACAAAGACACAGACACGCAAACCTTTTTGGGAGCTCTTCTTTCGGAATAATCTGCAGCCGTCCCCTCTGGCATTGCCTGAAAGCACCCAGCCCACCGCCCTCCCAAACCCACCCACGTGCGTCTAGACACCAAGTAAGCAGGGTTTCGGCCTCGGGGGGGGGGGGGGGCCGTGGAAACGCTCGCCCATTCGTTATTCTCTGGGGCTCAGCAACTTCTGCGACTTACCCACCTTCCAGCACTCTGCGCGGCCCCCGCCAAGCTGCCGAGGGAGATAGAGAGCTGGGTGAGGAACCTACTTGACCCTCTCTCGCCTCTCTTCCCCGTACGAGCAGCCGAGGAGCGGCCGAAGGACGCGCCGCATATGCGGAGCGCTCCAGCCGCAGCCGCCAGATGCTGAGAGCAGCCCGGATTGCAGACTGCGGAGAGAGAGAGAGAGGGAAAGAGAGAGAGAGAGAAGGAGAAAGAGAAAAAAGAGAGAGGCGTGAGGGAGAGAGAGAAAGAGAAGGAGAGAGAGAGAAGAGAGAAAGAAAAAGAGAGGGAGAGAAAGAAAGAGAAAAAAGAGAGAGGAGAGAGGGATAGAGAAAGGGAGAGAAAAGAGAAAGAGAGAGAAAGAAACAAAGAAAGAGAGAAGAAAGAGAGAAAGAGAGAGAGAGAAACAAAGAAAGAGAGAAGAAAGAGAGAAAGAGAGGGAGAGAAGAAAGAGAGAGTAGAAAGAGA